TTTTAGGTTTCCCCCCATTCATGCACAATGCGTATAGGGTGCGCCTACCTATAAAAACGCAGATTGCGCCACACGTTAGGTATCACCATGTGCACCAGAGTGAGAACAATAATTTTAGGGCCAATACTGATGGTTAATTCTAAACTGATGGTCTGTACAGGCTCCTAAAGCATCGCCTATTGACAAGTTTGCCATTGCATGGGTACACGCAATTTGTAAGCTTGGCATGTTGGGTATCTATTTATACGGTACAACCCCATATTTTATATTTTATAAACAAATGGGTATTATATTGTGTTTTTTGTCCACTAAAGCGAACTTAAGTGTATTTTTTTACTGACATTTAGGGTTTGATAAAGAGCTGCGCTAATATCATAAAAATTTTCAACTGTCGCCATTTGATTCTACAAGGTCTCTGCTTTCAGGAAATATATAATACTGGGGGGGGGTTTAAGTAATTTTCAGGCCTATAATTAGGATTATGTGTGCAAAAAAAGTAAAAACCGCTCTGGCAGCGACAGAGTTAATAAACAGTGGCATTGTAACAAATTAATAATTCACACCTCCCTTTTAAAATATACTAAAACTACAGAGCCAGGGAATACTTTGTACAAATTTACAAAATAAAGACCGTTACACAATTTTAAATGCTACCATTACTACTTCAAGCCAACGTTGAATTCTGATCACATAAAAAAAAATACTATCTGGAAATAAATAATTTCTATAGCAGATTTGCCAGTGCCACCGTCTGTTTCAGACAAATCTTAGAATTCTCTGCGGAGGAGCGTATTCTAGAGCTACCGTATTTAATTAGCTCACATTGCAAGATAACTTTATTCCTCCATCCTACACAGTCTTTGAAGTCTTATGAGACTTAGTGCACAGATCTCAGTGCAGCTGTGATTAGACAGGAGAGGGATTGCTGAAATCACGCAGCCAACATGCTGAAACTTAGACCGGTTTAACAGATCAGCATTGAGCTTTCTTAAAGGGCAAACAGCAGTATGTACCGTATATACTCGAGTATAAGCCGTCCCGAATATAAGCCGAGGTACCTAATTTTAGCAAAAAAAACTGGGAAAAAGTATTGACCAGCAAAGCCAGGTTACTCACATAAGAACGGAAGTGATATTTTTACACATATGTACTCTACACGGCTAAGAACACAATGCAGATTATAGCATTAAGAAAAAAAATGGTTTCACAGTATACATTCTTAAGTTTGAAAAATATGACTGAAACATGCAGTGGCTGGTAGCAGAAGAGTAAATATCCACACAATTCAGGGGAGGTACCGTATATACTCGAGTATAAGCCGTCCCGAATATAAGCCGAGGTACCTAATAGCAATCTTACTTCAGCCTCTGCATTTCTTTCTCCAAATGGAAGCTCTTCAGCTTGTTGAACTTCTCCACAAGAGGAGCTTTTGTAAAGGAAAGAGAGGAAATCTGAGACATGTACCTAGAAGAGAGGAGAACACAGAAGAGACACATTGGATTTTATATTTAAAGTGACACTAAGCTCAGGAGTTAAACCTTAAAAGTGCATTCAAGTACCTGAACTAGTAACAAAAATTTATCTTATTTGTGTATCACTCAACCTTAGATCCTCCAATCATCTCTGAATTGGTGCCGACACTATCCCTCATTCTAGAGCCTTGGTTCTCAACTGATGGGTTGTGTCCCAAAAGTGGGTCGCTACTCTGTGTTCAGTGGATCGCCGCATGCCTTCCACTTTTCTAGGTAAGAGGCTCCGCTGCCTCCCCCTAGCGCAGCACTGTCAGTTCTCGTGCCAAGCAGGCATTCACAATATGCTGCCTGGCGCCGAGTGTCAGCTTGAGTTGGCACGGGATGGGGCTATATCTGCGACGGAGCTCCATCCATACATGCATTGCTTACAGCTCCCTCGCATGTCCTATAGTGGTGCCTGGACTGAAGTGACATCAGTTTCTGGCTCCCGGCACCTCTACAGGGGGCGCAAGAGAGCTGTACAAGCAATGCACATATGGATGGAGTTTTCATCACAGCACAGCAGCCCAATCCAAGATCACCGTGATAAAAATACTAGGCTTTCACTAATTAGCCACTGTGTCGAGCGAGCTCACCATACAGAACCCAAATCCTCATCGTAAAGCACTTTACTAGCTCCGGCTACTACAGTACTTTACGGGATCCCCAAGGGCTGACCAGGAATAAAATATGTGTCCTTACATTGGGCCAAACAGGATGAATGCAAGTATACTTAAACATTTATGCCTGGAGTTCAGCTTCAAGCATCACTGCAAGACGCTGTCCCTGACCTGGATCTAGTTTGCTGCTTAAATGACATATATGAGTTTGTGACAGATTTCCGTTTAACCGTTGCGCACAGGCAAAACACATTTCCATTAAAGGCTACAAAAAGTCAACTTTGGGAATGCTTTAAATGCAAAGATCAGGTTCATCATAGTTCTGTGAAAGATATGAGGTACATTGTACACAGCAGTATAGTAAATGCACAAATCACACAGCACATTGCTCGTAACAGCTGCTATGTCAGTCTATTGGACTTGGAGGTACAGGGTGACGTTTTTAGAACAGGTAGTACACAGTAAGTGGTGATGGGAGGGGGGACGAGCTAGGTGTCTCTCTCCCCCCACTGGAATGCCAATTCAGTCACAATGAAGCAGTGGACATTACAACATTGTTTGTTTACGACAGCTTTGTTCGAAGTGGTGAGTCTATCACAGCAACACAGCAGCTATTTCGTTGAGAATTCAATGTTGGTCGGCACGGGGCCATTCCCAGTCACAACACGGTCCTCAGGTGGGTTGAACATTTCAGAACAACCGGAAACATTATGAACAAGAAACCACCAGGCCCTGCCCGCACTGCAAGGACGCCGGAAAACATTGCAAGAGTGAGGCACTGCTCAGGAGCCCGGGACGGTCGAAGACATGCAAGCGAGTTAGGGTTGAGTCGTGAATCAGTGAGAACCATTTTACAGAGAGATTTAAGATTCCATCCATACAAAATGCAGGTGACTTTGCAGTGCGAATGCACGTGATCTTGGTTCTCACTGATTCACGACTCAACCCTAACTCACTTGCATGTCTTCAAGCAGACCGTACCGGGCTCCTAACCAATGCCTCTCTCACCCGTGCAATGTTTTCTGGCGTCCTTGCAGTGCGGGCGGGGCCTGGTGGCTTCTTGTTCATAATGTTTCCAGTTGTTCTGAAATGTTCAACAAACCTGAGGACCGTGTTGCGACTGGGAGCGGCTCCATGTCAACCAACATTGAATTCTCTACGAAATAGACGCTGCATTGCTGTGATAGACTCACCACAAAGCTGTCGTAAGCAAACAAACGATGTTGTAATGTCCATTGCTTCATTGTGACTGAATTGGCATTCCAGTGGGGGGGGGGGAAACACCTAGCTCGTCCCCTTCCCATCACTACTTATTGTGTACTACCTGTTCTAAAAACATCCGACTCCTGTTGGTCACGCTGTATAAGGTATGAAGCCAGCCCACCTTATCCAATCACATTTTATTCAGTCTATGATCAAGAACAGGGCAGTCTGGCACAAAATGTACTTTGTAACACTTTAGTTGTTACAATAGCGGCTACATTAACCCAGAATATTGTTGGTGGAGTATAAACTCCCTTCGTGCATGCTTATTCCAAGTCACAGACCCATAAGGTAGTGAGGAAGGATCAGGATGGCAGTGTCCCAGTCTCAGAGTTTGTCAAGCAAACAAATTATCAATGACAGTTCCTAAATTACTATCCTCATGGGATCACATTAAATGTGTGCAATTAAAATGCAAATATTATGCAATACATCTTAGTAAATAAACTATGATTATTAATGCACTATGGTCCTCAAATAGAGCATTATAACTAAAGAAGACTGATTCAGGAGCAGGATGTTCTTGCAAATCGTATAAAGTCCTTTAATGAATTTATTTCAGAATGAATAAAACTCAGTTTATTAATCACAGTTATTACATTTTCTTTGCACCACTACCATCTCCAGTGGCTGAAGAGTCTATGCTTTGGCAACACTGCACATTTTCCTATTGAACACGTGCCCTACCCTACAATGCAGTCCAGCTGGTCAATATATTTCTAGAACTAAAACACTGCTTTTCAGAACAGCAGATTTATCAGTTCTAAATGCTGAGCCACAGGCATACTTTTCTATTTTCTCACTGGATCATTTTACAGGCTATGTCAAGGGAAAAGCTGATATGCATGCTTCAGAGAGGGCGGTGTCTCTATTCTGTGTAGTAACTAAATAGAAAAGCATGCACTGATCATCTTGTTACAGCTCTAGTGCAGTGTGGTGAAGACATTTTCCCATTTACATTGACACCATCTCTACTAACAGTCAACCAGGATTTGTCCAGCCCTGATGCTAATATAATAGATTAGAGGGTGACCGTAAAGATGTGAACTTACTTCTCCATAGTCTTAAACAACCACACCGGCTTCTTGTTAAATGGCATCTCCATCTTGTGGAACCTGGACAGTTTGGCAGCAATCTCACTAGAGATCTCTGGGTCACTGAGCTCTGAGGTCACCAGTCGCCGACTCTGAATATTAGAACAACCACAAATATAAAATAAAAAGGGTAAACATTCTTCCAGACATATCTGGGAAAACCTGCAACAGCCAATTCATCCATTTACTGGAACAAAACTGCTACAAGATGGCTCCCAAAAGCAAGGTTAGATCTGCGTGCCCCAGAACTAGCACAACTTCTGTGAGGCAGGTAGTGGAAGCCTGTGACAGGCACAGACTTCATGACAGGTCTCCTTTAAAATAAGCACTTCCCCCGTTCATGGCCACATAGAATTATATTCTCTCGCAGTGATGGCCAGCTCAAGTGGTGTATACTTAAAATTTCTGCCCCGAGTTCTTCTTTAAATCTACTTTTTAACCCTTACAGAGGGGCTACCCCTGCACTGCAAGGGTTAACTGCTTGTTTTTGCCTATACACACCTAAACCTTTGAGCTGGCCAGCTCTTAGACCTGTCCCTAGAGCATCTCTTCCCCTCCTCTGCAGTAGTCCAAGAATCCTTGAGTCATCACATCCAATACAGTGTATTGAATGCGAGGATGCCAAGGGACATACCATCGCTGCAGCGGAGGAGAGAGGCTGAAGGCAGCGCTGCTAGCTTCAAGGATCGGGCGAGTATAACTTTTTTTTTGGACCCTAGGCAGTTAATGCTTACAGTGCGGGGGTAGCCCCACTGCAAGGGTTAAAACGTCTGCCCGGAGTTCTTATTTAAACCCAATCTGAATAGCATATACTGCAATATAGAAAAACACTGTGCTTACAAATGATTGTCACGTTTTTGTTTTTTTTGCTTGTTATGATCACCAGGACAGGAAGTAAAGGATAACCTTCCCAATAAGGGCCTAGGTAACAAAACCTTACAGAGGCTCTAACAGTATGGGTTTTAAAAAAAATTACATTATTACAAACAGCCTATCCTTAGTACTATGTAGCCATCTGCTTGTTGAGCCTGCTACCAAACAGATGAAAGATATCTTGTCTCGCTCCCTCAATGTGTGGGATGCAACAAAGTATCCTGGGGGCCTTCTGTACCCTCATTTACCACTTCTCTCCTTTCTTAACAATCCAGCATTTCCCCCCCCCCTTCAAATGATGCCTTTTTTAGGACCATAACCAACCATTAATGCCTCAGAGAAGCTGTATTCTATCAAAGTGCCTAGGACTTTCTCTTTGGCATGACATCAACTCTCCACCCAGATACCCAATAAAACCCTTGCAACAGTCTAATAGTGTTGTCCAAATAAAACATTTACTATTTCACCATCTTTCATTTTTTTTCAGTTAGAGCAACTTACTGGAATGTACTCTTCCAGACGACCTTGTGGGAACACGCCATACAAATGAGGACCCAGTGATCGTTCAGCAAGTATTGCAAACATGACACTCTCCAAAACAAGAGAATCCACACCCTATAGGTAAAAAGGATAAAGAGTTCCTTATGAAGCCAAGCTGCACATTATTTTTAAGTCACGTGGTAGCAATGTTACGGCAATTAGTATAGTCAATAATATCACCCATCACAAGTGCCCGTTAGATGCGACATACCTACCTCCCGCTTATTTATGCCATGTCTGGATCATGTCCAGACCAGAACAGTTTGTTCCCGGACCAAAAAAGCACCCCAATGTATCCCTATGGTATTTCTGGGCTCTGTTTATGCCAGCGCTGTCCGTTCCAGTCCAGACAAAAAAAAATACTGCTTGTCTCATTTTCTCTGGTATGGAATGCACTGGAACACATTAAAAAAAACAAAAAAAACACATGCAAACAACTGGAACGCACCTAAAAAGCCCATGTTAAGCTTAAAAAAAAAAACACCAAAATACATTTTAGAAAAAAAACCTGGCAAATTCACGGTAAAAACGCATCTACACGGAACGCAACGCGTTCCAGATCTGGTCCAGAAAATGGTGTGAACCTGGCCTTAGCTTGGTCACATTGACCTAGCCCATTTTGTTGCCACTGTGCCTCCATAATAAAAAAAAAAAATGCACCAACAATGTGCCATATAAAGCTGGGCAATGAGGCTTTAACTGCCGAGAAGCAAGTTCTAAAATTGTTATGTCATGTATATAGGAGAGGGTCTCCATATGCCATAGCAATTACTAATCTTGCCAATTTTATTTTTCTAGTCCAGGTTATAAAGTGGTGAAAGGAAGCATGTGACTGGCTTCCATTGGCTTTGGATTTATTTATTTTTACACCAATAGAAGAAGGCAAAAAGGAGGTAATGCCCAGAAAATTGCGTTTTTTTATAAAGAAGTAATTGATCAACATTTGTTACAAAGCTACATAATGTAACAATGACACAACACATTACCTGCAGGATAGCTCCATACAGCCGCAAAAGAACTTGTCGTGGCTCATCGGACTGGGTCTGTACCGTGTCTATGAGACTGCACTTGTACAACAGGTTACTGAGACCGCCACTGAAAGATCAATCATACAAAACAAACTTAGTATACAGAACAGGCGTAAGCACTGAACAAGCATGAGCTCTAAAAAGAGCATTATGTATGTGAGATGAAAGGCAGGTGAACACCTAGCACACTACCCTCCCACCTGTGCAGCAAATAAGTACATGAAGCTTTGTTAGCCAGAGTACACAAACCCAAGAAACATTTTCTTACATTTACATAGTAGTCACAATACCTTATACCAGGGCTGGACAAATCCCAGGAGCCAGGCAGCCAATGTTTCTTAAAAATTACAGCTGGCACCTAACTTTTCAGATTTCTTGAATTGTTGTCAATGGAGCTGCCTCCCTAAAAAAAAAATCCTGCTGGCTCCTGGATTCCATAATATTTGGTCCACCCCTCTCTTATACCATTTTATGTGGTGAAGTGGTTGGTAATGCAAGTAATAATTAAAACTACATAACACATGATCAGTTTACCAATAAAAAAAAATAGGTTGCATATTTTAACTAGTCTCAACAGGTCACCAGCACAAAACACAGATGAATACAATATCTCTTTGATATGTTTATTGAAAAGTGTCACGGCATGTCATTAGAAGCTGAAGCTTGCATTTCGGGATCTCGCAGGGACCCTTCATCAGAGCGACAGTGACGTCTCCCAGCTCTAATTTATGAGAGCCTCCATCTTGGAGCATACATAGGGAAAAGGATACATTGGGTACAGGAGATAGCCCAACCTCCTTAAAAGGCACAGGGACACACCACAAGCAAAGCACATCGCAATAGCAGCTGAATACCCCAGATGTACCTACACCCAATTTGTCCTTTGCTATATTTGCTCCAAGATGGGAGGCTTGTTCACACCATATACAGTGCGCGTTCCAGCATGATTCGCTGTTGGAACGCACTGTATCGCATTCCGGCCAGTGCCCTGTATTCTGGGATGGGTGTGCAGTGTGATCGCCCGCACCACAACGCGTAGCGCATTAAAGTGATATTAACGTTTTTTTAAAAATTCCCCCATGTTAATGTTAGTACTTACCTTAAATGAGGTCTCTTAATGCGATCTTCTTCTTCTTTCCTGATGTTTTCATCTGTCTCCGATCCAGCGCCGACTCCTCTCTGCTTGCAGGCACTTCCGATCCAGCGGTGTCTGCAGGCGGGTGAGCGCGTCCATAGACTTACCTTGCGTCTCTGCTCGTCTCCCGGCCGAGAATCCGAACTGCGCATGCGCCAAACCCCAAGATCCTTTGCGGGAAGCAGTTCCGGATTCTTGGAGCGGGAGCACGCAGCGATAACGAGGTAAGTTTAAACCGCTGTTAAAGCGGAGTTTTTTTTACAAACGTTTTGCCTATATCTACTGCTTGCTAGCAGTAGATATAGGCAAAAGAAAACGAAGGCTTTAGAACCCCTTTAATGCCTGCGTTCCAGTCCAGTGTAATCAGAAAAAATGCTGCATGAGTATAGAACCACTTTAAATGAGCACTACAATAAAAACTGCTCAGATCTTTGGTGTTTCACCCAGACATGGCTGTAAATAACCAGTCGTACACCACATTCCAGATATTTACCAAGGAGATTCCCTGTGAACCCAGTTGTCTTATCTGTCTGTACTGCAGCAGAGCTATTCCCAACCACAGCCATTGGAGGCTATTTATACAGATGTATCAAAGTTGACAAAGAAAAATAATTCTTATTTGTTTTACTGATTAATGACAATATTAGGTGCCTGTATACGTTCTTTATATAATATAAACCTCTTGCCAGAGATAAACAATATTATCATCTGCCTTGGAAGGTTGTATGCGGTTGGTTAGGTTGGTGAAAGAAGCAGAGAGACAGTACAAAGCACAGATGTGTGTCCTGCGGATTATAAAATATAGAACACTGAATAAACTTTATGATAGAAAATTGTTTTGATCTATTATGAAAGGACTGGAATGTAAACCCCCAAATGACTTTTCCTTGACCTTGTTTTTAATAATGCAGGGAATACTTTTTATGGAACGAGGGGATCTCTCCGTTAGTAAGATTTTAAAAACGAAGCCACTTATATCTTCATTTGAGTGTTTTTTAATTACTCGTCTGTCAAAACACAATGAGGGGAATTTACCAAAACTGGAGCAGACAACATCTGGAGCAGTTGTTCATGGCAACCAATCAGCTTCTCTCTTCAGTTTGTTTAGTTAAGATTTGAAAATGACAGAGAATCCGATTGGTTGCCATGCACAGCTGCTCCAGATTTTCTCTGCCCCAGTTTTGATAAATCCCCTTCAATGAGCGGAATTTATCAAAACTGAAGCAGACAAAAGCTGAAGCAGTTGCCCATGGCAACCAATCAGCTTCTGGGTTACATTTTCAAAGCTTAACTGAACAAAGAAGCTGATTGGTTATCATGCACAGCTGCTCCAGACTCTGTCTGCTCCAGTTTTGATCAAATCCACCCCCCAATTTTGTGTTGATTATGGTTAACCAATGTACAGCCTGCTGCGGTATATACATGTCCTGGAGGACACTAGAACAAGCTCCCCTGTCGGTCTGACATCCAAAGAGGTTATCATAAAATCAACAGACACAATCAATAGGTGGAAAAACCCTAGGCCTCAATGCCTGAAGGCCTACAAATGCTCACATAGATAAAAAGGCTAGGGCAGGGGTAGGCAACATCCCACCATGCCTCTTGCTCAGGAAGTCACACCTGTGGCTGTCAGAGTCTTTCAATGCCTTATGGGATTTGTAGTGCACCACAGCTGGAGTGCCGTGGTTGCTTAACCCTAGACGAGGGAAAATCGTGTATGTATAGTAAAAAAACATCAGAAGTAGGTGTCATGTCCTCCATGCCATTATTAGGATTCAATAGCTTCAATACAAAGCAAAATGTTCTTTGCAACAAAAATAAAAAGTAATTATATGCCAGGCCACAAATAAGCAAATGTTGCCATGTGGTAAAAACGTGCTTCATTTCAGCACAGCAAATGTTTATCTGTCACAGCTATTTTCCAGCATGTTGGAATATAAATATTAAAGCAGAAATCAAATCTTACCCCTTGCAGTGGGGTTAGCTACCACTGCAAGGGTTAAGTGCTTGTTTTGTCTAGGGAGCTAAAATAACAAAGTTATAATCACCGTGATCCCGGCTAGCTCCTACACTGCTCGTTCCAGCGACATCCCTCGGTGTCGTGACATTCTATACATTATATAGGACATCACGACTCACAGGACCTTAGACCACTGTAGTGGAGAAGGAGAGGCTGGAAGGAGGTCTAGGAGCCAGCAGGATTGCGGTTCGGGTGAGTAGAACTCTTTTATTTTAGCTTCATAGACAAAACGAGTACTTAACCCTTGCAGTGCCGTCCACTGCAAGGGTTAAGATTTGATTTGCCTGGAGTTATTCTTTAACTTACCAGAAGTGCTCGTTACTGACTAAAGCTGACCATACACTGCTTGAATGTCAGCTTAGTCCTGCCGACTCCAGTGAAATTTGAGCTTTGGGTGGTTCTGTCGGCACCACTCCGTTTGACATAAAGTAAAAAAAACAATTAAAAACGGGCGACGGGTCATGATCCGCTGCCCGACTTCCTGTTTATCTGGGCACTGATACTCGGTATCAGCGAGTAGCGGGGGGGAAAAAATGGTATTGTTGCATTTCTAATTCTGACAGCTGATTTTCTCATCCACATTTAACATGGGTGGGGACATCAAGAGTTTGTTTAGCATGTGTGGTAAAAAACCAAACACAAGTGTGTGGCCAATGTAAGGGCCATTTATAGACGTCTTCCTTCACATGCTATTCGTTGTAGAGTATTCCATGTGCTGCATGAACTTGGCTTATTCTCCTGGCAAAGGGCCCACTAGGGGACATAACTGCATTCAAAAGGATGAGGCAATCTAGTGCTGTGCTTGTTGGGACATTGTGGTCTGTTAAAACTATGCGATTACTAGATTGTAAGCTCTCACAAGCAGGGCCCTCCTGTACAGAAATTGTACCATCCCCCTTCATTTTGTAAATTGCTGTACAAACCGTTGGCAATACATAAATTCTTTATATCAAGAACCTATCATGTGAATGTAGTGGGATGAAACACTGCACGCATTTAGATTGGAGAGCCTCCTGCTTCAAAATAAACTGGACATTGTTGGGTTTCCACATTCCATGCAACAGAATTCAGCTAAATCTACCTCTCTGTACAGAGGCACTAAGCCTTTTAGAGAAGCCAGGCAATAAGGATTCCGGCTAAAAACCGTACACTGCTGCCATAGTTGTTAAGAAAATGAAGTTTGATCCTGACAATACACTTGAGGCTACTGATTTTTTTTTTTTTTAATTGTGCAGTGTCGTCGCCCCCCTCCCCCCCCCCCATGTTCTTTCACTAAAGCTTGATCCACTCTTGACACATACAGGAAACTGGACCGGTCCCACTACACACTAACATAATGAAATGCTGAAGCTACACAACAATCTGAAGGCTACAACTTCAAGGACACATGTACGGAAAGAAATGCACATCGTTGAATCCCTTGTGACAATGCGAGCTCAATCACTGTCTGGCTTCAATATGTCCCGAGTCACTGACCCAAAACAACCATTTGGCAAGGAAAGTCAGAATTTCTGATCAAGGTCAGTGACTTAAGTACTGATGCTTATGATCTGTATGACCAACACAACTTCCTTACAGAAAAAGGTGTCACTGATCTGTTACAGTTATATTGAAATTAACTTTCTTGATAGTACATCACAGGACACAGGGAGTTCATTCTAGAATGGATGGGTTATGCAGCTACCTTCAGGTGACTGGACACTGGCAAATCAATGCTGTTAGGACAGCCTCCTGCTTCCAGCGTGCCTCAGTTTTTTGCTAGTGTCCCAAGATGATGGATGCCTCCTCTCAGAGGAGCACATGGAGTACATCCTTTTTCTGCTTTAGACTCTTCTAGCATGCTTCCCAAAGCTGCTCACAGCCACTGTGGCACCTAACAGCAGCTATCTGGATTGGTTTTCTGATTGGCAGA